TAGGTCTTTATCCATAACCCTAGGGCTTTTAAAACATAACTCAGCCCCTCGCCCAACCCCATACATGCAGTGACAGCCAACAAACAGCATCTGTTTCAAAGAAACACCACCTGTCCAAATGGAAAATCAAGCATTGAACCACCTCGCTTCATCAGAGTATTTGTTTCCAGAGCAGAAGATACACAAAAACCATTCTGTCGCTAACATAGTCTTTTAACACTCTGTGGGGACCATGGCCTGGCTTCTGCCAAGTAGACTTGGCAAATTTTAGAGTAACATTTGGGCCTTACATGTCAGTTTTCTGATCTTCAGAGGCAAAACTGTCAGATCTGTCTTGAAAGAACCTGAAACTTGTCCCAGGTAGGTTGGGAGGAAGCCAATGCCCCACAGGTGTGGCCGGGTCTGGCTTTATGGAGAGTTTAAATGGTGGAGAAAGACTGCCAGGAAGGTCCTTTCTTGAAGCAAGCAGTCATTAAGCTTGGAGAACATCTGCCTGTGAGGGCTGAAGAAACCCCAGCTTTTATAGGGCTGAAGAGAAGTTTGTAACAACCTTTGGCATGTACTGAGGAACCATTCTGTAGCTTAAACACTTCTGAAGACCTTGCAGTCTTATGAATGTCTGCACAGTTTTTAAAAGAGTGCTTCTTAGAACTGAAAATAATTTGAAGGCAAAACTGTTTTCCTTTGCCAGACCATCTTTAAGCACATAATGGCCTTCGTTCAATGGTCCAAAGGAATTGTTCCTTTGTTCACTTTCTACCTCTGTGGTGCAGAATGGATTCTTGGCATCGAGTTGGTGGATCTAAGATGGCTGGAGCAGGTACACATGTCCACGGCATTTAGTTTGCCATGACTTTTGGTATTTGACCATGTCTTGGTGAAATGGCACCATTTGGGGCATGTGAGGCAGAGGTATGATGGAAACCCATTTGGAGTGTGTGTGTGTGAGTGCACACAAGAAAGGTTGTTTGTATTTTCTGTAACCATTCTTCAGTGGTATGTATTATTAACCTCTACCCTATGATAATCAGTGGTCCCTTTTAATGCACAGAGAAGCAGCAGAATCCTAGAGAGGGCAGAGAGAATTTCCTAGGCTAGATACTCCAGGCCATCTGAGAACAGGCATCACTCTTCTGATTTTGAGTCAGGAGTTGTGAAGGCCCCTTGGATGTCATCAGGCTTGTCACTGGAGGGCAAGGAACAAGGAACACTGAGAGAAAACTGGAGCATAGATAGGACCCTCAGTTGGGTATTCTTGACTTGCAGATCAGCCATCAGTGATCTGTATGTGAAACACGCTCCTTTTCATTTCTCTTCCCCATTCTCTCCCTCTTTTTCAAAATCAATAAATGGCTTGTTAAGTCTTTTACAGAGATGGAAGCAAAAGAATCAGGTTTTTCTTCTATTACAGGGTTGAATTATTTTCAGTATTCATTCTAGAAAGAAACTTTGAGCTTACAAAATCTATGAAAACAGTGTTACTACTCAAAGAAGTAGTGCTCAGTGCATTACAATGAGTGTCCATGATCACCTTCTGTCTGTAACGTGGGGAATGGATGCTCTGGACTCCAAAAGTCTGCTTTTGATTCGTGAGCTGATAGTTGTTATTTGGCTCTTGGGAATAGGTAGAAAGAATCTGACCTAAGTCCAGTCTCTTGACTTTAATGACCGTTTGTCATAAAGCCCAGCACAGCTTTACTGTAAGTTGCATCCATAGGCTTGGAGGTCAGACTACCTGAGGTTGAAATCTGTTTTCTACCTTATTAATTGTGTCAACTTGATCAGGTAACTTAAGTCTGTTCCTCTGTTCCTCATCTATAAAACAGGAATAATTGTACTTCATAGGAATGTTGCAAGGGTTATATGAGATAACACACACACACCATGGTGTGTGGCACTTAGTAGGCACTAACTTGATGATGGTTTTTATTATAGTGGAAAGTCATCTGAGTGTTAGATAACTTGAGTTTTAGATCATTTCACTCAAAAATCCAATATTTTCTGAGCTGTCACCTTCTTTCAGGTACTTTTGGCCTGGAGGGGGCAGAGGGACTCTATTGGTTGGACAAATCATGTTACCAATCTGTGCCTTATTTTCTTAACTGTACATCCAAGTATTTAGATCAAATGATGTCCTTAACTCATAAAACTTTCAGCCAATTATGCATGTAAAAGTGAAGCATAATTGATGTTTCTGGACCTACAAAACCCCATTCCCTATTTGGGGTTTTTCTAAGGTGATGTGCTATAAGTTTCTGAGATAAAAAATCTCTTCCTTGCCAAACTCTATTGTCAGGATTCCTTTGAACTTTACCCAAGCTTGCTCAAAGAGACTTTAAAGTTCTATCAAGTAAAAGTGCATGATTGGTAACGCCAGGCCATTTGATATCACTTTATTAGGTCACATTCAATTATGTCTATACTCCTCCCGATACCTTTATTTTCCTAATTTTCAGACAATTACTTAAAATTCTTTAAAGAATTTTCAATACTTTTTAAATAAGGACAAAAATCCTTTATAAATTTTTTCCCTACCTCATTCTCCACCCTCTGCATTGCCTCTTCTCCTCTTTCCTGTCTGTGGTCCAGGAACACTTAGCTAATCAACTGTCCCATCATTTCTTGCTTTAAATCTTTCCACATGCTGTTCCTTCTGCTTCAGCTAGTCTTTGTTCCTCCTCCCTGCATTTTACCTAGATGATGCCATGGTCATCTGACTCCATCAGACCTCACCATGAAAAAATCATCCTTGGGCTAGTCTTCCCAGCCATTCCCCACCTATCCTGCAGAGTGGGGAATGGCTGGGTATGTTCGAGATCTTCTTTTTGTCTTTATTGTTCTGCAGTTTCAATTAAACCAGCTGCTGATTTTCACCTGTTTATTTTTCTTGGGATGCAATTTTCAAATTTGAGGATTTATGTTTTCCATAAATTATAGAAATTTTCATTAAAATATTGCCTCCACTCCATCCTCTCTTGTCTCTACCTGGAACTGAAAGCAAATTGATTTTTGTTCTCTTTTATGTCTCTTAAATTCTTTATTATATTTTCTTTTTATCTCTCTGGGTCATATTTTGGGGAATTTTGTCTGATTACATCCCCTCCAGTGCACCAAATCTTTCTTTAACTTTGTCTAATCTGCAGTTCAATCCTTCCATTGAGTTTTTTTTTTTTTTTTTAATTGAGTCAGAGTTCTGTGGCGTCATAGCTGATAGCAACCTCAAACTCTTGGGCTCAAGCAATTCTCTTTGCTTCAGCCTCCCTAGTAGCTGGGACTACAGGCACCCACCACAATGCCCAGCTATTTTTTTTTTTGTTTGTTTAGCAGGCCCTGGCTGGGTTCAAACCTACCAGCCCCATGGCATGTGGCCAGCACTCTAACCACTGAACTATGGATGCCCCCATTTCCATTGAGATTTTATATGAATGACTATTTTTTGTTTCCTCCTAAGTTCTGATTCATACTTTTTCAAATATGTCTGATCATTCACGAAAGTGTCTTTTTCTTTTAAAACTATTTCTGATGACTTTTATGTTGTTGTACTTCAGATTCTTGATTAGGTAAATTTTCACATAATTTCCCTGCTTAGGTAGTTCCACAATAATTAGCTTATGCTTTCATTCTGGTTTTGATTTCTTTTTTCTTTTTTGGTCTCAGGGATTTTCAGTCTTGCATTTAAAAGGCTATTTATTATATTTTGTCCAGCATATCAAGGAGTTTTATAGTTTGAATTTTGTTCTGCCATATTGTGGGAAGTAGATGTCCTCTAGGTCCCCTTTCATAGACTGTCCTAGTATCTGTCATAATTATCATTAAACATTAAATGATAATAATCTATCTAATGCTATCTCCCTTGTAATGATGCAGCACCATGGGAACAGGGATTATGTCTGTCTTTTTCAAAATCGTAGCTCTAGCTACTAGCCGAGTGCCTAGAACACTGGCTTAGGACTTAATATTATTAATATATACACAAAGTAGAGGCAGAGTGGCTCTGGATATTGTGTCAAGATGGGTTAGGAATCTCTCTCCATCCTTTTGCAAAGTTCATTATTATTCAATTATCTTGAATATGCAACACTTTCCTAAAATGATTTCCTCTCTCTATAATTGACATACTTTCTCACAGGTGATGTCACATTACACTACTTTCAATTACCTTCTGCATAGGTTATCCCATTTGAACTCACAGCCAGCGCAAACCTAAGAAAGGCTGGGATGATCATCCTCCCTTTATAGATGAGGAAACTGAGGGTCTGGAAATGATGTGTTTAACCATCTGTAGGAGAGTCAGTAATAAACCCAGAATTAAATCTAGGTCTTCTGATTCCAAGTCTATAGGACTGTTAGCTGTTGAAAATGAACATCAGAGCTTCTTTATGTGAAAGAAAAGTCCACCTTGCTTTTTTACCAAGCTACCTATATCTTATGTTGATTTAAAGAAGCCAATATCTAGGTATAAATAGGTGCCACCATCAATTTGGTGCTATTCATTAGATATTTTGATTTAGATATTTTGATTAGATATTTTGATTCCCATAGCCAGAGTCTCTACTTGATTTTTCATTTGGACTATGTATTTATGTTTCTTTCAAGACAAACATTTTCAACCACCTTCTGTCAAAGAATCCAGGTTTCTGGAGAACCCTGTTCATGGCCTCATCGGATGCAGGGGTGTCTGGTAAAGGATGGGGCATTACAGACCACATGACAAAAGCACAAGGTTCATCAAGGTCTAACACACTTGGAGGGGTAGGGTGAGGTGAGTGGGGGGAAAACATGGCAGGGACAGTCACAGCAAGCTGAGGCCCCCGAGTCAATTTCCAACCTCAGGGCTGAAGATCTTAGATGGCTGAAATCTTCCAGGCCCTCTGCTGTTGTAGAAGAGCCCACTTGAGAGCTTGCATTGTGGCATTGGAGCTGCATGGCAGATGTGGAAGCTTCATTCTGAGATAGGGAGGGGAGAGGGAGTACCAAGGAAGCAAATCTTGGCTACTTACCTCAGGGCGGACCCCTTGGGTGTCGCAATGCCATAGCCTTTGGAATCCAAGTTACCTCCCACCTTCATGGTGTCACAGGGCTTTCGCTGCTCAATGTACTCATTCATGGTGGACTCCAGGAGGTAGGCGTATTTGCCTTTGGATTTCCTCACTCGGATCATCCCCTCCTCTGTGGTTCGCACAAAAACTGATGGTTCCGCTGACTTCATGTACGTCCACATCTTCTCAAACACGGCAATTTTAGACCTCTGGTGGGGACAAAAACAAAGCTGGAATTAAGTGCCGGCTGTGTTTGGAACTGGGGTCGGCGTACACATTAATGAAGAGCAGAGTGGGGCTTGATCACACATTCATGAGTGAGATTAGCGCAGGAAGAAACAAATTATGAGTGATTGCAAAATAAGAGGCTCTAATTAGTACCAGTAGGTTCCAAAGTACAAATATCTTGCAAATACGCAATGAACAGCATAGTTCAGAATCTTTTAATTACTTCTGAGTAATTACATTCTTCTTAACCATGGTGAGAGTTAAGAAATTGGGGCCATGCCTGGCTTATGCAGACATTTAAGAACCTGTGTATTGTTCTATAAGGCCACATATATGCTGCTGAGAGGTAGAAAGCTGAATATCAGCAGAATTTGGTTTCATTATTGGAAGACAACACTGAAGAATTTCTGGGTCATAGGTTGCCAAGTTCTAGCCATCACATATGACAAGACTTGCCCTCAGAATTGTAAATTGTTTTCTGATAAAGCTAATACATTGACACTAAATTGCCACTTATTTATATATCAAAAACCTCCAAATCTAGTGAAACTAGCTTTCTTTTCTCCTCCTAAATGTACCTGGGGCCTACTTTTCTTTGGTACTTTTCTTGGACTGTTCTCTTCACTTGATTTGCTAGTTCTATCCCACCACAACCATGTCTTTATTTCATAGACCAAAATGAATCCAGTGTATTTGGAGCCCACCTCAGTTCCAAGGGCAATAGTAAACTGTTGGCTTCCATCATCATGTACAGAGACTGTAAAAATGCAGATTCTCAGGCTCTCAATTTAGAGATTTTGATTCAGCAGGTCTGAGGTGAGGTCTAGAATACACTTTTCCAGAATTTCCCTCATAACATGTGTTCTGATCTATATGGCTGATGTGCCCCCCCGCCCCATTTTGAGAAATAGAACTATGAGGTCTGGTATTCTTACTGGACACAAAGTCTGAGTCACTCGCTGGGAGGCCAGGTTGAATTGCTGGGATTGCAAGTCATCTCTTGTGCACAGGTCTCAAGTATCTGGAACCTACCTAAGGGCACGGCCGGGGCCGTCTTCCCTTCTGAGGGTGCATCATAGTCTAATTGAGTGCCTTGCTCATAGTAGGTCCTTAGTCATGCCTCATGATCCAGTACCATGGTCAGTCCCCTCATTTAACATGTTCCTTCTAAAAGATACCCTTTTTCCAAGGGTAAAAGGAGGGAGGTTGGAGTCTGGCTTTTGAAAATGGTTTATAAATGAACAAGTGTTAAATACATGGAAGGGACTGTTTTATTTTTAAAGTTCATTACTACTAGAGTCACACAATTTCTACAATTTAGTGGTTAATATGTAGATTACAGATTTATTTAATATAAAATTATCTTTCCCCCCCCCAAGCACAAGTATCAGGCTTATTTCCTTAAAATCAATGCATATCAAAGGTGGTAAAATATTGATATACAGGCTGGGCAGGGTGGCTCACGCCTGTAATTATAGCACTCTGGGGGGTCATGGTGGGTAGATTGCTTGAGCTCATGAATATGAGACCTCCCTAAGCAAGAGCAATACCCAATCTCTTAAAACTAGCTGGGTGTTGTGCTGGGTGCCAGTAGTTCCAGATACTCAGGAGGCTGAGGCAAGAGAATTGCTTGAGCCTAAAAGTTGGAGGTTGCTGTGAGCTATGACACCATGGCACTGTATTGAGGGTCACAAAGTGAGACTCTGTCTCAAAATAAAACTATATATGTATATATACACATAGATATACAATTATCACTTGAGCAAAGATATTTGGGGCCCAGTAAAATTCTAGCTCTCAAGGGAAAATAAATGAAAACAGTTGCTATTAAAACCTTAGTTTAATATTCTATAATTAGATAAATTAGATCATTTGTCAGACAATATGGTTCACAATTTAGAAAGGACTGAACTGGGTATGAGAATCCCTGGGTTCCAGTCTTAGTTTTACCTCTAACTCATCCTTTTTTCTATAAAGAACCCCTTTTCTTTGGGCTTTAGTTTCCCTATCTGTTCCGTAAGAAGATGGGCATTGTACTTAAAGAAGTTGTTTGAAATTTCTGATTCTTTACATGAAGACATGACATTCAAGTAACAATGTCAATGTGAGAAAGAAGAAGAAAAAAGGAAGAAAAAGGAAGGAGGATCCCAAGGTTAAGGGAGGAAATACCCAGAACCAATCACAGCATTGCCAATGTATTTAATATTCTAGCACAGGAAACAGGGAAATGTATAAATTCAGCTGTGACCAGATTTGCAGATAATTTTCTAGGCACAAAACCAACAAAACACACAGCAGGGCAATTGCAAGATGCAATTTGACCTGACAGGACGGACACAGCAGGGAATTGGGCTGTTGACAAGCAGAGCTGAAGAGCCCTCTGGGCAACAGTATGCAGAAAATTAATATGTCCTCTCAGCCTCACCCCAGTGCCCCAAATGCTAAGTCTGTGCTCACAGACTCTCAGAGCAGGCTATCAGGAAAATCTGATCTCCAGGAACAGGCCGGCAGCATGAGTGGCAGGGAAGATTGTAAGCATACTCAGGGTATTTGTTCTTGGATCTCTTCTATCATCTGCAGCTCCCACGGCCCTTCACACATCTTAATTAAAATGTCGATGGAGGATTAAGTGACTGTGTTGGGGCTGCCAAGAAGCTCTGGGCTGCCACCAGGACTAGAAGCCAGATTTTTCAGAGACTGGAGTGGAAGAGTTCTTGTCGCACTGTTTCCTACTGCTTTGTGGAGGTGGTGGGTGATCATATTTCCCCACCCACCAAAGTCCTGGTGGGATAATTCTCAAGGTCAGAGTCACAGAGGTGAAAGAGCTCGTGAGACATACCTCGGCAGTACTCTCCTTTTACAGGTAAAGAAACTGCAGCCCACAATGTGGCAATGAACTGGCCAATGTCATGCAGCTTGTTAGTGGCAGAGCCAGGAGTAAAACCCTCATCTCCTGATTGCACACCTCGCGCCTCTTGGCTACAACCAGCTGCCGCTCTCGTTTTAGGCTTCATATGTTACTAGCTACAGGATCTTGGGCAAGTAACATAAGCTTTCTGAGCCTCAGTGTTCCTCTTCTGACAATGGTGTTAATAGTATCCATGGCACAGTGCTGCTCTGGAAATTATGAGGGAACAGAGGTAAAATGCGTAACAGTGAATGGCACTAGGAAGGCTTCTCAAGTGGTGTAATTACTGCTAATAATTAGGCCCCCTTTTCAGGTTTTACTCTAGGGTGGGAATGCCTGATAGGTGGCTTACTTGGTTCTAGTTTCCCTTCTTCTTATACACATGGGAGATGTTGGTATCAACCAAGAAATTCTTTCACACAGAATCCAGATGTGCCCTCAGAAACTCTCAGCATAGAACTCTAGATAACCACTACTGACCAATCAAAAGTTAGCACATGGACTACAACTTATTTGACACCAGTGGAGTAGGCCTGGTTAGGGCACAGAAGTTGTGGAATATACAGTGCCTTGGTTCTAGATTGCTGACTTTATGCCATTGACAAGAGGCAGGAAAATGTCAGTTGATGTAGTTATCAACAAACAATGTTAAAGGCTTAGGTCCCAGTTGCATCTCTTATTATCTAGGCCGTGACCATTTTCTTCTCTAGACTTCAGGTTCCTCACATGTAAAATCAAGGTTAGACTAGAGTTGTCTGTAGGCTCACATGTTCACCTGAGAGATTGATCTTTTTAAAAACGTTTATTAGTTAGTGACACCATCACATCTGGACAATGTGGTTCAGTGGCAAGAATATTTGGGTTGGAATCAGGAAACTCAGATGTGGCACACACCTCCCCTACCCCTGGCACTTGGCATCAGAATTCCCTGAATCTCAATTTCTTATCCACAAATTGGACACTGTAATACCTATTCTGTCTTAGGTCACCGGTGAAACAAAAATGAGACAACAGATGTCAAAGTGCTTTGGGGCAGGGCACATGCTGTATATACCAAGGGGATGAGTGCATCGTTAAGTAAATTAGGTGGTTCCTCTACTGAATCAGCAGGGGTTGGGGCATAGGACCAGCTTTATGGACATACATCAAGTACCTTCTTCATATTTTGCTTGCAGTCAAAAAGTGTCAGAGCATTGTAAGGAGATTACAAACTGGCTTTTCTGCTAATTGGTTTGGTTTGCTTAAGCAAGGAATGCCTTTCTCTAAAATGACGGGCTCTGACCAGGTGACCCCTGAAGCACCTTCTTGCTCTGATATTTTGAAAATTGATGATGTTAGCCTTGGAAATGAAATCAGTGATAGTAAAGACTTTTGTCCCTTTTCTCCCTGTCATACAGGACACAAAGGCCAAGATCAAGAACCTGCAGCACATCACACAGGGGGTAATTTGGAGCCTAGAGTTTGGTCTATGAAATTTCAGCGAGAACCTGTGGGAGTCTGGATGGGATCCCCACACTCTTGCACACTGAAGCAGTAGCTTGCCCTCTCTACTCCTCCTGCAATTCACTAGCTGTGTGACTTTAGATGACTGCTTTTACTTCTCCGAGCTTCATCTGTGAAATGGGGACAACAATCCTTAACTCATCTCTAATCAGAAGATTAAATGAGGTAATTAATGTAAGATTTAGCACAGGACCTGACTTTTCAGTACCGAGTAGCAATTGCTTATTATTTTTGTTTGATCACTACATGGTAGCTCTATGTGCTGATTATTCAACTGCAAGGATGAACATGTCCAAAGTCCAGGGAATGACAGTTTCCTGCTTCTGAGAATCTGTTCAAATTGTTCCCTTTGCCTAGATGTACTTAGCCTACTCAGATCCAACCTGCTTTTATGAGATCTAGAAATGTTTTCAGGTGTACCCTGTGGGGCTTCAATCCTCACCCCTTCTTTAAGATGCCTTCCAAATGCTTTCATTTCCTTAAAGCCCTACTGATAAATGGAGCTTCCATTACTTGTGCCTATTTTTTCTCCTATTTTAGATGATAAGTTATTAAGATGACTTATTGTCTAAAACAATCTCATTAAGACTCGGAGGTAGACATTATTGTCCTCACTTTGTAGATGAATAGAAATGGTGTCACAGAGGCCAAGTGCACAGAAAAAGGAAAAGATGGAGTGAAGGTCTGGACCTCCGTCTGCTGCTCTGAAAGTTGTGCTCCCAAGCTCTCTGCTCTTTTGCTTCACTCACTCCTCCTGTCAAAGAATATCTCAGCACCTCCACTCCCACTTTACCTTTTCTTTCTCTCCTAGCATTATTTAAGAGATCTTCCAGTTATTTTTTTCCATACGCTATCTTATTTTTTGAGTGTACAAATATTCATTGAGTTTCTTCTATGCGATAGGAGGAAACACAAATAGCATCAGGTCTGAACCTTGTCCATCAGCTATTTCTAATCAGTGACTAACTAGACTATAAGGTCTTTGTGGGAGCAGGGAGGAAATCATTGTATGTCCATTGCAGCACTCAGAGAATTAGCACAGATAGGTTTATGCTAATAGTCTAAATCACGCAGGGCCTTTGAAGCTTCCATGAATGCAGAAAAGCAGATTTCTCAGTGGACTGTGGATAGCTGAGAAATACCTTGTGTTTCCCTGACTTGTAGTCAGTTAAGCAGCAACCCTGGCTCCCTGTGATCTCATGCTATATAATGCGAAGGATGTTTTCATGACAGTTGTGTTTCCCCTTTGTGAAAGTGCCTTGGGAACAGGGATGTCCCTACCCTGAAGAACTCCTTAGTAGATCCTGCTTCCAGCGTCCCGTAAGCAATTTCTGTCTGCTTCGCTAGGTCTTCTGCACTCTCGATGGGAGACACCATCCTCTCCACAGTCAGGAAGGCGGCCAGGTTGGCTGTATATGAGGAAATGATGATCAAGGTGAAGAACCACCAGACGCCACCAACGATGCGACCAGACAGGGACCTGCAGGCCAAAAGGAAGAAGCATTAGGAACGTGGACATCAACTGCAGAAGGCTAGGGGGAAGGGCTGAGAGCCAGCCTGAGCCCCGTCAGCGGAGCTGTCAAATCCGATCGCACCCGTCTCCTCTGTCAGCAAGATGTGAGAATTCAAATGTCAGAGAGATTCACATTTTGTCCCTTATCATGGATAAGGACCTGTGGGGTTGCAATCCTTCAGGGGTGGTAAAACTCCCCCCACATGTTAACACTGACTTTCACACATGCACATACATCCAGACATATGTCAACAAAGACACAGATATGTCAACACTTGCCCACAAAACCCACAAACATGAACAAACATCCTTTCAAATGCAATTACATGTGTACCAAAAGTTTGTGCACACGCAAATAAAAGCAAATACATTTACACACACAACGCACACCCTGGAGCAGTCCAGAGATGTTTTCAGATCACTTTTTCATGATGGTCTTCCTGGTTGGCAAAGGACACCAAAAAGATGGAGGGAAATGCTGGAAACAGAATGAGGACGATCAACCTCCAACCACTGTGGGGAACGTCATCATCGCATACAGAGCAAAATTCCCCCCTCCACCACTCCAGAAAAGAAATTTGGACAAAATAAGATTAAAAAGGTAAGTAAATAATAATCTTTCATCAGGTGAAAAATTTATTCTTGAACTTCTCAGTATCCTGTTCGCTTCTCTTACGGGTCAAACACTGAGGAGAGACATGGCCAGCAAAGTCCACTGTGATCTGTCTGCTTTGCTAGGAGATTTCCAAGTCCAGGGCTTCCCAAAGATTCTATAAGATGATTTGGATGTTACATGGGGTGATTTTATGGGAGGAAAAGACATGACATCAAATCGTACTGAATCATGTAGTGATAAAGTTATTTGCATTACATTTCTCTTCCCATCCTGTTCAATTTATCAAGAAGCCCTATCCTGAAGCTACTGTATCTTTAAGTCTTTTGTAACGTGTGTTCTGACAGCCCCAAGCTCAGAGCTTTTAAGAGTTGTAATATATAACTAGAGAAATCACCAACCCAACCCACAAATTTTAGATAAAGAAACTTAAGAGTCTCAAATTACTCTGTGCCTCAGGACCAGTGCTCAGGCCAGCTGGCTGGCTCTGTTGTTCCACTCAGTTTTCAGTACCCTGCTTGACCCTTTCTGTTAGCCTCATGCTCCTGGGCATGTACTTTTGTTTCTGTTTCCTGGAAATTCCTTTTCACTTTAGACAGACTGTGTTCACACCAAGAAATCCAGAGTATTTGTTATTTCTTGCTATATGGAAAAGAATGGTCCTAGGTGCTTCATATTAAGAGGGAAGTAAGAGAGAGGAATCTTATTCAAAAGAGACCAGGAGAGTGGAGCAAAGCCATGTCGCATGAAGAACAGCTGCAGGAAGAGGGGGCATTTAACCAGAAGAAAAGATGTGGAGAGACTTGTTCACTAAAGGAATGTTGTGCAGCTTGTACTGTGTGACCTATGTTAGGAGCTTTTGGCAGAAGTTTCAGGCTAACTTCAACACTAACTAAATAGGAGGAAGATATTTTTGATGGGTAGGGTGGTACAACAATGAGATGGTTATCCTGGAAGTGAGTGAGTTTTCCCATTTCAGAAGGTGTTCAAGTAGTGAGCCATTTACAGAGATGTACTTGGTAGCTACTCTTGGTCCCTCAGGATGCCAAGTTCTGGGGGGACCCAACTTTAAGGAAAACAGAGGGGGTCAAGTGTTATGTGGGGCCAGGGATGTGTGTGTCCTCTCACATTCCTCCCATTTCTGAGATTCTGTGATTTGAAATCACAAGTAGGTAGATTAGAATGCAGGACTTCCACTGAGCAGATAAGCAAAATCAATACACAGAGGCAAAATCACTCCCTTAATGCCCCAGAACCAGTCGCAACTGGACTCAAAATCATGCAGTCTTCAGATAACTGGTCCAATGTTCTTTTCATTTTAAGAGATGGCAGATACAAGTGTCAAGGCCATTCAAAGCTTCAACTTCTTTCCCATCTATGAATGACCACAATGGCATCTAAACTGAACTGTAAAAATCAATTCTGATTTTTAATTTTACACAAAATTATTACACACATTTGTCTGGTACAGTGTAATGTTTTTGAAACACGTATATATCAAATGAGGGTAATTAGCATATCCATCACCTCAAACATTTATCATTCCTTTGTGTTGAGAATATTCAAGATATCTTCTTATTTTGAAGAGATTATTATTGTTGCTGTAGTCATCCTATGGTGAAATACAACACCCAAACTTATCCCTTCTGTCTCACTGTACCTTTCTACCCATTGACTGACCTCTCACCACCATGTTCTCCCCCTTCCCTTCCTCAGCCTCTGGTAACCACTATTCTACTCTCTACTGCTATGAGAACACCTTTTTTTTGGATTTCGCATATAAATAAGATCTTCAAGTATTTGTCATTCTGTGTGTGGCTCATTGCACTTAATGTAATATCCTCTAAGTTCATCCATATTGCCACAAATGACAGAATTTTATACGCTTTATAGCTGAATAGTTATTTCATTTTGTATATGTATTTTTATCCATTCATCTGTTGATAGGAGCTTAGGTCAATTCTGTATTTTTTTTTTTTTTATTGTGAATAGCACTGCAACAAACATGGGAGTGCAGATAGCTCTTTGACATAGAGATTTCATTTCCTCTGGATACTAATCCAGTTGTTGGATCATATGACAGTTTTATTTTTATTTTTTTGAGAAATCTCAATAATGTCCATAATGGCTGCACTAATTTACATTTCCTAGTTTACATTTCCAACTTTTATTTTTTGTTTGTTTGATAATAGCTATTCTAACTAGAGTGAGGTGACACCTCATTATGATTTTGATTTGTATTTTCCTGATGGTTAGATGTTGAGAATTTATTCGTGTATTTATAGGTAATTTGTATTTTGCTATTAAGAAGTGTCTATGTGGACCTCTGTCTATTTTAAATCAGATTATTATTATTCCTACTATAGTTTTGCTATTAGATTGTTTTAATTCCAAACATATTCTGGATATTAACTCCTCAACAAATGCATAGTTTGCAATTATTTTCTTTCATTCTGTGGGTTCTCTCTTCACTGTGTTGATTGTTTCCTTTGCTATGCAGGAGATTTTTAGTTTGATGTAATCCTATTTGTCTATTTTTGCTTTTGTTACATGTGCTTTAGTGGTCCTAGCCAAAAAATTGTTATCCAGACCAATGTTATGAAGTATTTTTTGTATATTTTTCTCTAGTATTTTCATAGTTTTGGGCCTTACATTTAGTTCACTTAGAGTTGATTTTGTATGTGGTGAGAGATAGGAGTCTGCTTTTATTGTCCTGCACATGAATATCCCATTTTTCTGTCACCATTTATTGAGGAGACAGTCCTTTTCCCAATGTATGTTTTTGGTGCCTTTTTCAAAAATCAGTTGGCTGTAAATGTGTGGATTTATTTCTGGGTTTTCTATTTTGCTCCATTGGTTTATGTGTCTGTTTTTATGCCTGTATCACACTGTATAGGTTACTCTATTTTTGTAATATATATATTTTTACATTTCAGAATATTAATGACATGAAGAATATTTCTAAGTCAGGTGCTGTGATAGCTCTACTTTTGTTCTTTTTGTACAAGATTACTTTAGCTATTTGGGGTCTTTTGTTATTCACACACATTTTAGGATTTTTTTTTTCTATTCTTGTGAAGAATCTCATTGGTAGTTTAATAGAAATTACATTGACTCTGTAGATTACTTTGGGTAGTATGGATATTTTAATAATATTAATTTGTCTGATTCATGAACACTGAATATCTTTGTATTTATTTGTGGCCTCTTCAACTTCTTTCATTTATGTTTTATCATTTTTACTGTAGATATCTTTTATCTTCTTGGTTAAATTTACTCCTAGATATGTTTTTTTTGGTAGCTGCTATTGTAAATGAAATTAAATTTTTTTTCAAATAGGTTGCTATAGAAATGCTACTGCTTTTATAAGTTGACTTGGTATTCTGCAAATTTGCTGACTTTGTTTATTGGCCTATTAGATTTTTGTGGTGTCTTTTGGGTTTTCTCTATATAAAATTATGTCATAGACAAATAGGAACACTTTGATTTCTTCCTTTCCAATTCTGATGCTCTTTATTTCTTCCTCTTGCTTACTTGCTCTGGCTAGGACTTCCAGGGTAATGTTGAATAGACGAGGGGAAAGTAGACATCCTTGTCTAGTTTCAGATCTTAGGAAATAAGCTGTCATCTTTTCCCCATTTAGTATGATGTTAGCTATGGATTTGTCACATGTGGCCTTTATTGTGTTGAGGTACATTCCTCCTATACCTAATTGGTTGAAGATTTTTTTTTTTTTTTTATCATAAAGGGACGTTGAATTTTGTTAAAGATTTTTGCGTCTATACTCATTAGGGGTATTGGTCTATAGTTTTTTTATTGTTGTGTCCCTGTCTGGTTTTAGTATTAGCATAATCATGTCCTCAAGGAATGAGTTTGGACGTATTCCCTCCCCTCCAACTTTTGGGGAATGGTTTGAGAAGAATTGGCATTAGTTCTTTATTAAATACTTTGAAGAAGTTAGCAATGAAGGCATCAGGTCCTGGACTTATCTCTGATGGGAGACTTTTTATTACTGATTCAATATTGTTACTTGTTGATATGCTCAGATTTTCTATTTCTTCATAATGCAATCTTCATAGGTTGTATGTGTATAGAAATTTCTTTTTTTCCCTCAGGTTTTTGCATTTGTTTGTGTATAGTTGTTAAGAGCCTCCTGTGATTCTTTGTATTTCCACAGTATCAATTGTGAAGTCTCCTTTTTAATCTCTGATTTTATTTATTTGAGTTACCTCTCTTTTTTCCTTAGTGTAAATAAAGGCTTGTTGATTTAGTTTATCTTTTTAAAACACCAGCTTTTTGCTTCATTGATCATCTGTATTGATTTTTAGTTTCAATTTCATTTATTTCTACTCTG